AGGTACTATAGATGAGTCATCTTAAAATGTACATATAGAAATGGTTACAGTCCAGTGCTGATATCAGTGTAATCAAACTGCTGTTGCACACATACACCATTTTAAATAGCTTGACGAAACCCAAGGCTTACATTGTATCATCTCACCTGTATGATTTATCAATGTTTTTTTGCATCACTGTGCGCAACACAGCAAAGAGTGCTGCATATCGGCTCTTAGGAAAAAGATATTTGCCCTTCGAGACTGCCTGACATGTTTACTTACCATACCAACAAACTATCACATTCACACCCAACTGTGTAAATACCAAGTCTAAATTTGTGTTTACCTCACACTACAGAAGCATTATGAAAACGCAGTCTTGGATGATATATACCCTGCAGTATTAAAGTAAGTTGTTCTGGTAAAATACACAAATTCTTGAATGGCCTGCAGTCTGAAACTTCCTTGTTTGCAGTTGTCTCGTTGGTACGTGAGGTTTTAGTGACACCAGGAAAAATGTATTAAATGGATTTAGGGAGTCAAATAGGGAAATGGCATAAAATGGAGTCAAACTTTTCCACACCAGGAAACATTTGCTGATAGTTAAACACAAAACGCTTAAGGCTCATTTGACTTAAATCAGTGTTTTTATACAAGACCCCAGTAACATCAGCTCAATACCACAGAATTTGCCTGCCGCTTGTGAGTCTTGGGGAAGAGCAGCTGTCAAACCAAGAGGAAATGCTTTGCATTTGTTTAAGGTCTTTCTATGATCTTACATGTTTGTCAGGTGGGTGATAATATGATAGTGCCGTGGCAAGCAGCACAAGTCCTGAGATGTGAGCAAATATTTGTCTAGATATGGTCTCCTCGGCACAGATCAACACATCCCATCTATGTGTAATTAGTTTAAACAAGGTTATATTCTTCCTGAAGAGCCATAGAACATCTAGGTTGTACTGGAATTCAGTTTATGATGAGAAATAGACATGGTTTTGGTTGTAAAAGGCATAAAAATATAGGCCTATTCTTCACTAGTGAAATTCTGTTGCACTAATTTGGTATATATGGGGACTCTTTAAATGGGTTAGAATCAGTTAAAGATGTGTGAATCTCATCGATTAGATATCAAAATATCACACCAAGTGGTTATTTTAAATAGCACATTTTAAGCAAACTACCTATACGCTTGATGGATTTTACAGTATTGTGGTTGTAAAAGTTAGTTTGAACATGTCCATTGTTAATGTGACAAACAACACCTGTGGTTTCTCTGCTAGGACACCTCGACTTCATACAGCCACTAAAAATCACCAGAATTCAAGTGGATTAAAAGGCATCGAGACTCAAACATGACGAAGAAAAGTGAAGCTAGTTGAAGAGACAAAGGTCCTGCATTTGAGCTCAGGTAATGACATTCAGGCTTTTGGGGCCAGAACTTGTTACGTTCTTTGTAGTGAATGGGTGCCATCAGAATGAGAGTCTAAACTGCTGGTAAAAAACATCACAGTGATCCAAAAGTAATTCACATGACTCCAGTCCATCAATGAATGTCTTTGTGAAAAGATGTGTAAAAAAAGTTTTAACTGTTGCTTCCAGCTAAAAATACCGCTTCCTTCAGTGAAAAAGTCAACTTTGAATCAGGAAAGAAATATGCACAGCTCAAGCACTGTTTACAAGCAAAACAAAAGTCCAAAACAATTCGAAACAAGGAATTTGGATTTTCTCACTGGAAGAAGTGTTATTATGGTATATTTTTGGCCAGAAGTGCCAGTTTAAAGTTAAAATGCCTTAATGATGGATTTGATTCTTACAAACATGCAGTTTCTTTACTTCACAAGACATTAAAAGATGGACTGGAGTCGTGTGGATTACTTGTGGATTATTGTGATGTTTTTATCAGCTGTTTGGACTCTCATTCTGACGGCGCCCATTCACTGCAGAGGATCCACTGGTGAGCAAGTGATGGAATGCTACATTTCTCCAAAACTGTTCTGATGAAGAAACATTTTTGGGTAAACTATTCGACAAAAAAATGTTTGTCATGCATCATGGTAAAAGGTAGAAGGTTTAAAAAAAAAAAAAAAAAAAAAAGGCAAGACGTTTATAATTTCTTTTGGGAACTGAATTAACAAATCACACTGCTCACGTATGCTGCAGGCAAAACACAAAATGACAGAATCATGTTTCAGTGTTAATTTAATCATACAAATGTTCAATTATACATACAGAAAAAAAGGGTTTTCATATTTTCTCTTTTTCACTCTGCTATCATAGGACTCTATGCAAACTCTCTGCTCAATCATACACCATGCCACGGTGCAGAAAACCCAACAGATCTAACAGAAAAAAAAGAAAGAAATCAGGAAAAAAAGACAATAATGCAGCAATGAATCAATCATAACATTAAAAAGTATTGGACTGATAGCACTTCCTTGTGGAATGCCATTCGCTGCATTAAAAAAAGATGACTGATTGAATAAAAATTGTTTTAACCAGTAATATTATTTACCTTCTATAATAGACTCTATGCAAACTCTCTGCTCAATCATACACCATGCCACGGTGCAGAAAACCCAACAGATCTAACAGAAAAAAAAGAAAGAAATCAGGAAAAAAAGACAATAATGCAGCAATGAATCAATCACACTTCTCACATGCATAAGCAACACACACACACACACACACACAAAAAATCCAGAGTGTATTTATAAATTGGAAGGAGGCTGTGAAGTGTGCAGCGCTTGGGATGAGAACATTCACTAAGAACAGCTCAAAGGAAGACTTGACTGATGAAGCGATGGCATCCTCCAATGAGCTGTTTATGAGCCGAGCACTAGGCGAAACGTCAGTTTGCCTCTGTCCTAACGGCAACATAAAACGGCAACCAGTTTCAGAACATTAACTTCTTTTATGCTTCAACTGTGAGTGCAACTTTTTGGAATATGGAAGGGACTGTCTCTTAAAACACTGCATAGATCATTTGCAATGTAAAACTGAAGCCACAGCATTTCTAAAAACCTGGACGCAACGTCGGTATCGTTAATGGCGAAATTTTCCAGGTGCATAGAACTGGGGGGGAAACAGACAAGAATTGCCTGATGTGTTAAATTTAACAGGACATGCTGACACTAATCTCTATTGCCTTGACATAAAGGTCAATTTGGGCTCATTGATTTGCATACTGCTTGAGGATAGCAGCTAATTTGTTTAAACGCTTTCTTCTTCATGACCTAACGTTTATCTCAGTAAATAGACCAATAGAGAAAAATATTATAGGAGACTTGTTAACTTTTTGTTTTGTTTATGTCTTAGAAATTGCCTAACCATTGCAGCAAAACAGAAAATGGGGAGTAAAACAGCCTTTCAGATATATTTAGCAGGATATAAACATCCAAGAAGCTTTCCATCATACCAAACACAGAGGCACGATTTAAACCAAATTAACTCCACAAAACAAATATTATTTGAAGCGTTCCAGCTCCAAATCTGCCATTTCAACATCCAGCAACAACTCAAGAATACAAATTAAAAAGAATATTTTTGGATAAACGCAAATGCTACCACAGAAAATAATTGGTATCTTAGTAAGATTAAACATAAAAAAAAGTGTGTACGGAAACGCCCTTTCAATGGAAGTATAGTGCACTTGCCACAGACTTCAATTGTAGGCACATACATGTCGATGCATTTTCAGGTAGAGAGGTACAAATTCAAATTATTTTCTGTCACAGATGACGTTCACTTGCATTTAACCCAAAATATTCCTTTAAAATGAACTCATTCTCACACTTTCCTCTCATTAAAACACCCTCAGCTCATTTAAAACAGCTTAATACCATCGTAGGTCTAGGTGAAGGACAGAAATGTATGACTGAAAAAATCAATGACGTGCTTGTGAACTCTTGGGTCAGTAAACAAGGGAACCAAAGCCACATCTGCTTGCTATCAAGTCATTACAAGTGGAAAACCAACATCAGCACTCTGGAACTCCAGAACAACATCAATGTAAACAAATATGATAACAGCAACAAGATCTCTGACGACAGCTATGACTTGACCTGTGGTGGCAGTACAGATGTATACTTCAATATAATGAGACGTAATGTGCTCATGTACACTGTACAGGTTGCTGGGCTTCTTTTTTTTTTTTACTGAATCCAGAGAACAGTTTTGTAATCAACAATTACAAGAGGCTGGCAAAGGACCATATGAAAGCAATTACACAATTTAACCTCCAAGTAGGCACATTGACCTTTTTTCTCAAAACTCTTCAGTTTGTAAAGAAAAAGTCAGCGAACATTGATGAAAAATGATAAAACTACTTGACAGGCATTAATTCTTTGTTGATGGCTTTTGTGCATGGCTGAAACACTTGCACACATATTGAGGTGACTACCGCAAAACTTGTCAAGAACAAACCCTGATCATATTTCACCGCAAAATCAAAAGAAATGAAAAACCATACTTTGCTTAAAGAAAATTAAGCCTGTTTTTAGGACTAATAAGATTTCCTTCGTTGTGACATTATTTTCATGCCAATGAATCATTTGATGTAATGCAAAAATATATATTTAAATTGTAAAATATTTTTGCCATATGTTAATTGGTTGCATTTAAATTAGGCTTATAAAAAATTTGTGCAATTTTAAAATTTAAATATTTCAATTAAATGTGAGAACAATTGGAATAACAAAAAAAAGAATATGTAAAAATAAAAAGCCATGTTTTATTAGAGAAATGAAAATTTGGGGGGATAATGCACTTAATTGTCATGAGCCAAAATATATCTTAAAAGTCCTAAAAACATGTTTTATTTTCTATACGCAAAATATAACACTTTTATGCTTTTCTATTGATTTTACTGTGAAACATGACTCGGACACATTCTAGTAAGATTCACTCATCATTCATTCATCCACCCCGTCCTGCCTCTCTTTCTCTTGTGCATTCGTGCACTCACTCACACATCTGAATTTACTGCTGTAATGTGACCAGACAGATCAAAAAACGGTGTATTTTTCATTATATCTCTTTAGAATTTCTAGCACTCATCTAAATCTAGCATTCACACATGCGTAACTCAGGTGTTGGTTCAATATTGATTTGGAGCCAAACAGATTTGTCCACACATTTGTGAGATGTTCTGGTGCGTCGGGGGAGAGGAAGGGTCACCAAGTCTTTAGAGTAAATCTCTTCCTCCTCTCACTGAACCCTGGAAAAGGGCAAAAGCAGCAGCTCTGATGAGCTACCGGGTGGTTTCTGTATCTTAAGACTGTCCGAACGGGAAGGGTCCATTAATGCCCTGGGAAGAAGCAGAAACAATAAGATAAAACACTAATGTTAAAGACCATTTGTAAATACATTTTCTGAAAGAAAGAAAAAGAAAAAAAAAAGTTCAAACCATTTGTGTGATTGCTTGCATTTTTAATAAAAAAAAGCCCCAAATCTCTGGCTTAAGTCCCTCCTTCAGTGAAAGTCTATGTGATTGATATAATGTGATTATTATAATTGCCACATAGATTAAAACTGAGAGTTAGTTCAAATATGATGAGCAATGAATGAGTAACAACAGTATCAACACCCAATTTTACACGGATATTTGACCTGCAGGTGGCTGTTTAAGCAAACAATCTCTAACTTTGTTACACTGGGAATATACACTATATTGCCAAAAGTATTGGGACACCCCCTTCTAATAAACAGGTTTGACTACTTTAGTAATTTCCATGAGAACAAATCTTAATATTTAAGCATATAGTGATATTCTAGGGAATTGTGTGCTTCTAATTTTTTGGACAAGACCTTTTCTACTCTAACATGACAATGCATCTATGTATAAGGCAAGGTTTAAAAAGAAATGATTGATTCCGTCAGTGTGGAAGAACTTGACTAGTCTGCAGAAAGCCAAGTCCTGACACCTAATCCCAGCTGAACACCTCTGCTTTGACTTTAAATACAGACCTTGAGCCAAAAACTCATCACCAAACACCAATGACTTGTACATACACTATATGGACAAATATATTGGGACACCCCCTTCTTTTGAACAGAAAAAGGCACTTCCAAAACTGTGGCAACAAAGATGGAAACAATCCATGTATTTAAAAATGGTATTTTTATCTCTGTTGCAACAGTTTTGGAGGTATCTATAAAATGACTGTGTCCATATGTACAAGTCATTGGTGTTTGGTGATTTGGCTCAAGGTCTGCATTTAAAGTCACAGTCACACCAGAGGTGTTTAGCTGGGATTAGGACTTTGCTTTCTACAGACTAGTCAAGTTCTTCCACACTGACTGAATCAATCATTTCTTTTTGAACCTTGCCTTATACAGAGACATTGTCATGTTAGAACAGAAAAGGGTCCTGTCCAAACTGTTGCTATGAAATTAGAAGCACACAATTCCCTAGAATATCATTATATGCTTAAACATTAAGATTTGTACTTATTTGTACTGTAGAAATTACTAAAGTAGTCAAACCTGTTCATTAGAAGGGGGTTCCCAATACTTTTGGAAATATAGTGTATGTATACAACGGGTTTACTGTTAGTAATCTGGGATTTCAACAGTGACTTCTTTAACTGGTTAATAATGTTTCTTCATCAGCTCACATGCTTGTATGGAACTCCATCTTGTGGCCGAGAGGCAAAGTTTAAGCCCCTTAAGGGCCTATTAAACAGCCTCTAGATTGACATTCACAGTTGTAAACCCTGACGTTAACATGTACACATCAAGGCCAAATTCAGAACGACAAATTTCTACATGGGGCTGGGAGATAAAATGCCTCATTATTTTTCAGCATAGATCTCAATATCAATTTATGAAATTGTTTAAAGGGTGTTTTGGTAAATCAGAAACCAACCCAAATAGCCAAGATGCAGATTAGGTTTTTTTTATTTTATTTATCGGAATGGATTCAGAGAAGCTTAGCATTACCTCACTTGCTCACCAGTGGATCCTCTGCAGTGAATGGAGGAAGTGTTGTTATGGATTGGCCGGAGGCAACGTTTTAAAGTTAAAACAACTTAATGATGGTTTTGTTTCTTAAAAACAGCTTTTTGCTTCACAAGACATTAATTGATGTACTGGAGTGGTGTGGATTATTGTGATGTTTTTATCAGCTGTTTGGACTCTCATTCTGACGGCACCCATTCACTGCAGAGGATCCTTTGGTCACCAAGTCATGTAATGCAACATTTCTTCAAACCTGTTCTGATGAATAAACTCATCTACATCTTGGATGGCCTGAGGGCGAGTACATCTTCAACAAATTTTAATCTATCGATGAAACTATTCCTTTAACTATTTTGAAACAGGTTTGACTACTTTAGTAATTTCCATGAGAACAAATCTTAATATTTAAGCATATAGTGATATTCTAGGGAATTGTGTGCTTCTAATTTTTTGGACAAGACCTTTTCTACTCTAACATGACAATGCATCTATGTATAAGGCAAGGTTTAAAAAGAAATGATTGATTCCGTCAGTGTGGAAGAACTTGACTAGTCTGCAGAAAGCCAAGTCCTGACACCTAATCCCAGCTGAACACCTCTGCTTTGACTTTAAATACAGACCTTGAGCCAAAAACTCATCACCAAACACCAATGACTTGTACATACACTATATGGACAAATATATTGGGACACCCCCTTCTTTTGAACAGAAAAAGGCACTTCCAAAACTGTGGCAACAAAGATGGAAACAATCCATGTATTTAAAAATGGTATTTTTATCTCTGTTGCAACAGTTTTGGAGGTATCTATAAAATGACTGTGTCCATATGTACAAGTCATTGGTGTTTGGTGATTTGGCTCAAGGTCTGCATTTAAAGTCACAGTCACACCAGAGGTGTTTAGCTGGGATTAGGACTTTGCTTTCTACAGACTAGTCAAGTTCTTCCACACTGACTGAATCAATCATTTCTTTTTGAACCTTGCCTTATACAGAGACATTGTCATGTTAGAACAGAAAAGGGTCCTGTCCAAACTGTTGCTATGAAATTAGAAGCACACAATTCCCTAGAATATCATTATATGCTTAAACATTAAGATTTGTACTTATTTGTACTGTAGAAATTACTAAAGTAGTCAAACCTGTTCATTAGAAGGGGGTTCCCAATACTTTTGGAAATATAGTGTATGTATACAACGGGTTTACTGTTAGTAATCTGGGATTTCAACAGTGACTTCTTTAACTGGTTAATAATGTTTCTTCATCAGCTCACATGCTTGTATGGAACTCCATCTTGTGGCCGAGAGGCAAAGTTTAAGCCCCTTAAGGGCCTATTAAACAGCCTCTAGATTGACATTCACAGTTGTAAACCCTGACGTTAACATGTACACATCAAGGCCAAATTCAGAACGACAAATTTCTACATGGGGCTGGGAGATAAAATGCCTCATTATTTTTCAGCATAGATCTCAATATCAATTTATGAAATTGTTTAAAGGGTGTTTTGGTAAATCAGAAACCAACCCAAATAGCCAAGATGCAGATTAGGTTTATTTTATTTTATTTATCGGAATGGATTCAGAGAAGCTTAGCATTACCTCACTTGCTCACCAGTGGATCCTCTGCAGTGAATGGAGGAAGTGTTGTTATGGATTGGCCGGAGGCAACGTTTTAAAGTTAAAACAACTTAATGATGGTTTTGTTTCTTAAAAACAGCTTTTTGCTTCACAAGACATTAATTGATGTACTGGAGTGGTGTGGATTATTGTGATGTTTTTATCAGCTGTTTGGACTCTCATTCTGACGGCACCCATTCACTGCAGAGGATCCTTTGGTCACCAAGTCATGTAATGCAACATTTCTTCAAACCTGTTCTGATGAATAAACTCATCTACATCTTGGATGGCCTGAGGGCGAGTACATCTTCAACAAATTTTAATCTATCGATGAAACTATTCCTTTAACTATTTTGATGCATGAAAAATATAATACGTAATGACATTTCTGAGTTATCATATTCATTGAAATAAGCAATAACATCACAAAATATTATGTCTGTCTATTGCTTAGTCTCACTGCTTTAATGGTTTTATTCCAAGGTAAGCTGCACAAATGGGTTGAAAAGGTCATTTTGTTGTTTGAAGACCTTTAGGTATGTCTGAAAACAATATCTTCGGTATAAAGACTCTGACATGGCTAAAGCCCACACCTGCCGGTGCTCCTCACATCATAGCGCTAATTACGACGTGTCATTGGGGAATTCTGGAGTGTGACGTATGAGGGGAACCACAGTATTACAGCACAGCATCACCCAAGCAATGATACAAAGTTACAGAAACTAAGCAACCGAAAGCAATATATGTCTTCCTCAGATGTAATGTTAGTTCTGTACTTCAGCATTGGGTAAAATAGCATTATAATCGGCTTTGTGGAAGAGAAAGCTGCTTACATGTAGTCTACAGGAAACAGCGAAGATGTTGAATATACACACAATCAGCATTTTCACGTTTATACCGGCCCCGATAATCAAAACTACTTAGCACTTGATCCATTTCTGCAGATCAGTTTTTGTGAATGAATGACTTAAGCCACCTGTTGCTTTGGTCTTCATCAACAGCCGCTTGCGCCACCTGCTGGTGAGCGACTGACAGCAGCTGGAGATCATGCATCTGTGCACTACTGCTATTCCCGGATGTGCAATAACAAATTTTCTGCTGAATTTTAGCCACTGAATTTGTGGAAGCGAATTTGGAAAGTGAAATAAAATGGACAGAAATTTGCCTGTCGAATATTATACATCGCATTTTTAAACAGATTGAATATTTTGGACGTGAATTCTGGAAGGTGAATATGAATTGTTGAATTTTTCGAAATATTCACAGCTTACATAAACAACTATGTTAAATTTCAGGACCTAAAAATGCAAGCCCTGGAAATACAAGGCAATAAAATGCAAGCACTCTTAATGCAATGCACTATTTTTTGCGTTAGTGCTATTCAACATGCTTTTTTGTTTCAAAGACATATGGCATTATTTTTCTTCCATAATAAATCAACTACACAAGTCACGAGTCAGCAATAATGTCAGCAGAGAGTCAATCAGCCCTTTTTGGGTATCTGTATGGAAATTCAATACAGGTTTTTCCAGTATTCCAGGGAAAACGTACGAGAAAATGCTGTTGGTTGGGTTTGGGAACTATTTCAATCAATCAATTCTTAAGAATTGTTTTTGCATAATCATTAAAAAAATGCTGTGGAATTCACCACTTAATCCATATAATACAATTAATATAGCTATTTACTACCATGTGCTGTTATATTGGAGCATATAAAAGAAAACAAAAACAGTAAAATCAAGTTATTACATTAAACATGCTGCATATGCTTAAAGAATTGCTGTTGAATCAAAAATGCCCAAATAAATTAAAATCACCCATAAGACGTTTTAGAGCAGATATGTTCAGAATCAATATATTTATTGAATCATCAAAAGGCTGAAACCGTTTTAGCTGTATCTCCCATTCCTAGTTGTATCACACATGTGCGGAATGAGGAAAGGTGTAACCAAACACGGTGAATCATCACAATGTGCTTTTCTTTGGTGAGATGTCACAAAACAGGGCAGGGAACAAAAAGGTGACGCATTGTTGTTACATGACCTTCTGTGCAAACAGATCATACGGCGGTCAGCACATTGAGAAGTTTCCAGTGTAGGCTTTTGGCATGAATGGAAGATTTTGAAAGAGTGTTGAAAAGACCTGCTAAAATGCCCAAATAAATTAAAATCACCCATAAGACGTTTTAGAGCAGATATGTTCAGAATCAATATATTTATTGAATCATCAAAAGGCTGAAACCGTTTTAGCTGTATCTCCCATTCCTAGTTGTATCACACATGTGCGGAATGAGGAAAGGTGTAACCAAACACGGTGAATCATCACAATGTGCTTTTCTTTGGTGAGATGTCACAAAACAGGGCAGGGAACAAAAAGGTGACGCATTGTTGTTACATGACCTTCTGTGCAAACAGATCATACGGCGGTCAGCACATTGAGAAGTTTCCAGTGTAGGCTTTTGTAGGATTTTGAGAGAGTGTTGAAAAGACCTGCGGAGTGTTTTATCTTGGTTTTCTGAACCAATCTTGGCTTGACCTTTTCACTTAACTTTGGAAAAAGCCACTCAATCATGAGCATTTGTATTAGGATCACAGAACTGGACTCATAAAATCGTTCATTATTCTAACATACAACTTACGCCTATACAGCTGGGTGATACTGAAAATTCAAAATATATCTGTGACGATTTTGTTACAGATATATACTGCCATTAAAACGTTAGGAGTCAGTAAGAATTTTTTTTTATTTTTATTTTTTAAAGAAGTATTTTATACTAACCATTAACCAAGGCTGTTATTATTTGATAAACAATACAGTAAAAACAGTGTTTTTGTGAAAAATTATTACAATTTAAAATAAGCATTTTCTATTTGAATATATTGTAAAATGTAATTTATTCCTGTGATGCAAAGCTGAATTTTCAGCATCATTACTCCAGTCTTCAGTGTCACATGATCCTTCAGAAATCATTCTAATATGCTGATTGATGCTCAAGAAACATTTAATATTATCAATGTCAAAAGCAATTGTGTTGCTTCAAATCTTTGTGGAAACTGTGATACTTTTTCTTCAGGATTCGTTAGTGAATAGAAAGTTCAAAACAGCATTTATTTGATATAGATATCTTTTCCAACATTTGAAACATCTTTACTGTCAGTTTTGGTCAATTTAATGCCTCACTGGACTAAATTATTAATTTCTTTAAAAAAAAAACTGACCCCAAACTTCTGAATGGTATTTAAAAGTCTCTCCTTCTTGGGACTCGAGTAGGAGAGCATTTAGAGAGATTTTAATTCAATTTATTTTTATTGGAGTATCAGCAAATGTTAAATTCATGGCAAGGGAAAAAAAAAAAAAAAAAAAAAAAAAAAAAATTATATATGCACAATTGAACTTCTTACAACAAAGGGCTCCAGACTGCGACTAAAACGTTTGCATTTGCAACCAAAAATATTAATTTGTGAGTTTAGATTTTGCTGAGGTCGCCACTGGCGAGCAACTATATTTACATGTTAGAACTAAAAAATGTGCATGTAATGCCTTTTTTCCTGATTGTTTTGCGATCATATCTTTTGTTATGTTCACGTATTAAACTGAGACGATGTGCATCAAAGTTTTAGTGGAAAAAAGAGTTTCAAACAGTCCTCATCTCTGCAGCACAGCAGCATATCGTTAACGATTCTCGTTTATAATCATTACTAAAATGGCTTCTTATCAATATCTTAGTCTATGCTGTGTTCTGTTAATGCGTGAACGTCATATTATTTGAAGCGCACTTGCTGTCCAGTAATCGCAAAAAGCTTTGTTCTTTGCTACTTTTTAATAAACAAAGTGCCAGCTTTAAAATTATTCCAAATTCATAACGAAATTCAAACAATACATACCGTTTTGGCGCTCTTTAATGCGGCAGGCGCGATCGTTTTAGCGCCTCACTTCAAGCGGCAAGTGAACCCATTTAATCTTTCTCTTTACTACTGTAGTACATAATGAACATGAATTAACATCAAACGGTAATCTATTTTATAAGGGAGTCTACAGTACAACTTACTGAAATGTTTCATGTAAAAGCTCGTTCAGTGTTTCAATCTGCGAAAAACGTGTAAAGCTTGTAAACACTGCAACGTAATATACATTTACCTCAGAATAACCATTAGGTGTCCATAAGCTCATCCGTCAGCTAGAAAAATAACTATAAAGAGGAGCATTTTGCTATATTTATGTGCTATTGCATATTAATATTTTTACTTAACCTGTTGTCTACATGATTCAACTCCTCCTATAAAATTGCATTTTACTAATTAAGAAAAACAGACTGAAAGTGTGAAAGACATACACTCTTAAAAATAAAAGTGCTCAAAAGGTTCTTCACAGAACCATTTTTGGTTCCACAAAGAACCATTCAGTCAAAGGTTCTTTAAAGAACCATCTCTTTCTCAACATTTTATAATCTGAAGAACCTTCTTTCGCCACAAAGAACCTTTTGTGAAACGTAAAGGTTCTTCAGATGTTAAAGGTTCTTTATGAAACCATTTAGACAAAAAAAGGTTCTTCTATGGCATCGTGAAGCACCTTTATTTTTAAGAATGTATGACAACATTTACAGGATGCATTCAGGAGGAGCCCAAACTACACTTAGTGATGCTTATGGTCCATGATATTGGTACTGATTCTGTGTAATAAAAGCATGACTGTATATTTCAAGTTGGAAAAGACATTTAGTTCCCAGGTCATCTACAAGATGGATTAAAATGCTGATAAAGTCAAGAAAAGATGAGACATAAACACATGACAGTATGATTGAAATGTTAAAATGTAAAAAATAAAATAAAAAATAATAATAAAATAAATAAAACACGTTTATTCTGTGGCACCTAAAAAAATAATTTGTCGCCTAAGTTTTTTTCTTATAGGAGCCAATGGCTCCTTACTCTATTTTTTTTTGTCTGGAGCCCTGCAACATTACAATAACATGCGATTATACATGCGATAATAGTGCCCCTGATTAAGCAAAAGTAGAAAAAATGCCATTAGTTGAAAAACTATTCGCTCTCTATCACCCAGCCATACTCACAATGCATTATCATGCTAATCTTCATTCAAATCAATGAAATACTCCAAATGGCATACATACCTGGCTGTAAGTCACTACTGATAAGTTGTTTTGGAGACCATTTGGTGTAATATTTACAGAGCTGTGATTGAGTCCATTTTGATCTTGCTGAATGGAGTCCAGAGGGGCCTCCCAGTGGCCCCCGGGGTCTTTTAGATGATCCTCATTGGTGTCCTGCTTGTTCTTCTGTGGTGAGGCGAAAGGGTTGAAATCTCCCTCCAGACTGCGGTGTGGCTGCGTGTTGAACTCTGTCTCAAAGGAGGATAACTGCTGTGTGACGCCCAGCAGGCCTCCTTCTTCCACACTCAAGATCACCCAGATCACATCTGCACAACAAGGGGAATGAGGTGAGCCACATGTCCTTCAAGTCACCAAAGTTGGTTGTAGTACTCAGAACTTGTGCTCTAATGCTCTGAATGGCATACTATCATACTAACTGTACTATTTTTAAAATTCTGTATGCAGAAAGAAAATTATACGGGGTTAAATCAACTTGAGGAGAACTTAAGTTAAACTGCATATTACCACAGAAAAGTAAATGACCACAGTGTTCTCATTTTTGGGCAAACTATCACTTTAAAACATTTGTTCTTGCATAATGTTTGCATATTATTCTTTTTTTGAAAGAATGGTTCACCTAAGCGTATTTGCCGAATATTTACTCACCTATTCCTTATAATATTCACTGAAATAAGCAATAACCTTATTGCACATAAAATTGTATGTGACTACAGCTTAGTCTGTCTCACTGGTTTAATGATTTTATCTTGGATGGCCTCTCCCATTCACTGCTCTTCAAGATAACCCAACAAGTTAACGACTTCCGCTGCCGAGAAACCCAGAAATGTGAAAACTGTCCATTGTTTGCGTCTCACCTCCGTAGAAGAGTCCGGTGGCAGTGCACATTCTCCACTGACCCTGGTACATGCCAGGAACGGCCGGACTGCGCATCTGCACGCTCACGTCTGAGATCTCCTGCGGGTCCAGAGAACGCACCATCACCATGTTCACATGACCAAACTGATCCCCGCCAACATACTTCAGACACACACCTGGGGGCCACGACTCTGTACCTGCAGAGAAGACAGGAACAACATTGACGTTTGACAAAACAGGATTTAACGTGAGGTGGCTAGATCATCAATCCTTAAAAGAAGCAAAACTATTATTGATATTCTGATATCAGTTCATTTTAGGAAATAATAGTTCATAATGCAGAAAGTGGAAGAAAAACTATTAAATTAGCAAACATGAACAAGAATTATTACTGTTCAAAATGACTACTGAATACATAAAGAATAAGACAGGCATTTAAGTAATTCCCAAAAGATTCCATAATAAATTAGTCTTTATTGTAAAATGTGCTGTTTTGAATTACAATCTGTTTGAGTAGGGCTGCACAATTAATCGAATTTCTAATCGCAATTACAATTATGGATGCCACAATTACGTAATCGTTCCAAGCGGCAATTAATCGTTCAAAGTCCACTTATATTATTTTGCACGCTTAAGATATGTTTTTTTCTTTCTACATGTTATCTTAAGGGTTTTTCCATTGTTTTAGTATAACATTATAATACCATTCATATATATATATTTTTTTATAATTTAAAGAAGAAACCAATCCGATGTATATTTGACATTTGAGGCTTAATACTATAGAAAAGCACTAAAGGTTTTTCAGTAGGGATGCACCGATACCAATACTGGTACTGGGCCCGGCGTGGGTAGCTCTCCCCACATTCATCATTGCTGTCTGGATCATGGAGGGTATAGTAAAGCTCTACTTGAAGGGTCTCTCCACTCAACTCAAGCCCATCTGTCCCTGAGGACTTTCTGCGACCCAATGGTGCTACATTAACATTAAACCAAGTGGAAGGGAGATCCAGTTGGGCCAAGCACTGCGCCAGATTCCCTTGAAGCCTGCAGGAAGTTTTGATCTCCCGAACATCTCTACAAGCATGCAGCCTCACACATGGAAGCTTGTCCTGAATCTTGAAGTCATCCCAGTCCCGTCCTGCGATATAGAACAGCACCTGGACCAGTGGGTTACTAGCAAAAACTCTAGACTGTACAATAAAAGCCCGGACCTTCCAGTTGACTGTCAGCCTTCCAGGAATGTCCAAAGGACTTGACGGCTGCAGTAGGTCCTTGGACAACGTCTGGTCTTGGGTAAAAGGTCCAAGTGAGATGTTGATTGCAGGCAGCTCCTTGGTCTGGAAGACCACAAAGCTTTCTGAACGCTGAAGAGGGTGTCCACGTTGACTTCCATATGGTTGAACTCGGTTCTCTTGGAGAAAGAAGGCCAACTGTGTGTTGGAGAGCTTAAAGTTGGCAGGGAGGTAAACTTCTGGCGGGCTGGAGGTGGTACTAGGAACCAGAACACTGAAGAGGGCATCTGAACTGGTAGGAGAAACTTTACCAGCAACTGCAAAGACAAGAAAACAAGAAAAAATACTGTTAAATATGCACTGACAATAGATAGTGTTAGCCAAGGATTGGATGTTTTTGCATAATAAAAGAATTCAAGAACTTTTCTGCATCTGCTGGTGGCAGGTAAATATTCTCCAATTTGCAAGAAAGCGAATGCTTGTTCTCTCTTTCATGCCTTGGGAGATCAGCTGGCTCTGACAATAGACACTGATTAATGGCATGCAAGAGTGTGAGATTTCAGATTAGATGGATTTGTATAAATTCAAATAATGAGAAAATTTTTATGGATACCGGGGCCCGATACTGGTCTCCTGTACTCGTACTCGTTAAAATGTCCCGATACCACTAAGCGCCATATTCAAACAAAGAAACACTAACAACAGACAGCAGAAAGGAGTTAAGGATGTCTACTACGAAGTATATGTATGCAATGAATATAATGTTAAACATTCAGTATTAACGCCTGTATAGCTGATGTGCGCGAGCTGATAAAAAAAGCACGCTGAGAGGATTGAGCGAGCGGCGGTGTGAATATATCTTTCTCACAGACATCACTGGAAAGTTTGTAGTTCGGTCGGATATGTCAAAAACAAGTAAGTAAAACAATGCACAAGTTACTTAACGGTAGGGAAAGAGAGAGAGCGCGCGCAATTCTGTTGTGTGATCTTTGATGTTCACTCACTTAGCACATGCATCATTTGGATTAAAACTTAATCGTAAAAATAAGACCATTTATAGGGGCATTCACTATAAACATCATCTATTTTCAACCTTAGGCATACACGACTTTCTGGCGAAAGTGAAACTAACAGCCTGTGTGAAATGCACTTGGCTGTACTGTACTTGTCCCTCTCATTCTGCATCAGTACAAATACGTGCTTTTTTATATTTGCTTGCTTGAGTGTTTCTGCATTATATGAGTGGCTTTGGAATATAAATCGCAGCACGTTTCAGATGAAAAAACGCGACTTCTATTTCTGAAAATATCACAGTTAGGAGATTTATAACGAGTGGTTCCCTGCATTATTACAGCAAAGCGCGTGATTACAGTACTAAGCCGCTGCAATGGAGCAGCTCTAATGCTATTAAATTAAAGCTGATGTACCACAGAGCAAAAACAAATTAACAGTGAAAGTAACAAAAACTTGTAAAATACATTTTAATGGGCATAATTAAGTGTGAAAATAACCGAAGGATATACAGTCAAACCAAACATGTTTCAGAGACCAGATATAATTCTTGATATTTTTTTACTAGTGGGTGCAGGACACTATAGTTCATTTATGTAAGTGAGGATAGCAAAATAAAGTAAACTGTGACAAATCATACCCAAAAATTCTTCATACAGTGGACTACCAGTAAAACTGATACAAATTTGGGTCTAAAAATTATTCATACCGAGTCTGGGAAAAAAATGTAAGTTCAGGTTCGCATGAAGCTGGGTGACAGCATGCCCAGGAGACTACAGGCTGTCATTAAGGCTAAGGGCTGCCCGACTAAGTATTGATAGTTGTGTAAATAATACTGTCATACTAACAGCTGTCTGAATAATTTTTGGTTGATTGTAATTATTACATACCTTTCTATCAAAATGATCTAACATTATCAAGATGAATTTGTTCTGACACAGTTTAACTCTGAGTTCTTGTTATATTTTATTACCATTTTCTAAACTATAGCGAATAAACTGGGATAATGTGAGAAATGTTGAAGGTGTCTGAATAAATTTTGGTTTGACTATCTATTTGATAAATGAAGTTAACCAACTAACATTATACATACTCTTTCGGTTTCTGTACCCAATATTTAAAAAATTTACAAATGCAATAAAAATATCGGTACTCGGTATCGGCAAGTACCAAAAGTAAAAGTATCGTACCGGGCGAGTACTGGAAAATGGTGGTATCCGTGCATCCCTATTTTTCAGTTAAGAGTGATTTCAGCTTGTTTATTTTCATATAAAAATATGGCATGCAGTTACATCAAACAATGGTATAAAGATCATTCAATGTAAATTGTGATAATCGTAATTAATAATCGCAATTACAATTTCAAGGGAATAATCAACAATTATGATTTTTGTCATAATCGTGCAGCCCTATGTTAGAGCATAAAACACAGGTGTTGAGCCTCTTCATATCTACAACCAGAGCAAGAAAACACTCACCTGTGTTCTGTATCCTCCATGTCTTTGTGAACTGTGTGTCTGGAGGAACGGACTCCCCCTCTCCAATCGTCACATCTTCCACAAAAGACATTGACGGCGTGTTGATATTTGGACTCTCAAAGTCATAATATGCACCAATAGCTGCTTGTAGGTTCCTGATAAGACACGAATACAGACAGATCAAAATTGGAGATTCAATGACAATGTAGTTGCGGAGAGCAAAACATGTACAAATAAAATGTACGAAAAGCAGATTAATCAGCCAATATATGGATATTATGAAGCTGACGCTGATATTAGGGCTGTCAGTTGATTACAATTTTTTATCTAATTAATTACATGAAGTTTTCGATTAATTAATCGCAAAATAAATTTGACTGAAAATACCCACAAAAGATTATTTAAAGCAATTTTTGTGTTAAATGAGTAAGTATCAAGTAGACATTACAAAATGAGTTTTTTCAACATAAAATGTATTACACAAACATTTAGGCAACAACGTCCTAACAAACTATGGAACATAAAAGAAGATAATTTGAGAAACATCTCAGTATTTTTGTTCATACAATGAAAGTCATTGGTAACCAAAACAGCTTTGTTACCAACAGCCTTCAAAATACCTTCTTTTATGTTCCACAAAAGAAAGTAAGTCATTCAGGTTTGAGTTTTGGTGGCGGTAAATGTCTTCATTCGATTCGTTCAAACGGCTGATTCATTCAGGAATTCAGTAAACGACTCTTGCCTTGTCCAAATACACACACTTGTGGTCTTTGCACTTAACCACTTATATGACGTATTTCCTGTATTTGGCCCAAGTGTTCAAGTGAGCATGAAGACCACAAATGTTGTACAACTTTTCATTACCCGATAGGACACACTTATACAGGTGCATCTCAATAAATTAGAATGTCGTGGAAAAGTTCATTTCAGTAATTCAACTCAAATTGTGAAACTCGTGTATTAAATAAATTCAATGCACACAGACTGAAGTAGTTTAAGTCTTTGGTTCTTTTAATTGTGATGATTTTGGCTCACATTTAACAAAAACCCACCAATTCACTATCTCAACAAATTAGAATACTTCATAAGACCAATAAAAAAAACATTTTTAGTGAATTGTTGGCCTTCTGGAAAGTATGTTCATTTACTGTACATGTACTCAATACTTGGTAGGGGCTCCTTTTGCATGAATTACTGCATCAGTGCGGCGTGGCATGGAGACAATCAGCCTGTGGCACTGCTCAGGTGTAATGGAAGCCCAGGTTGCTTTGATAGCGGCCTTCAGGTCATCTGCATTGTTGGGTCTGGTGTCTCTCATCTTCCTCTTGACAATACCCCATAGATTCTCCATGGGGTTCAGGTCTGGTGAGTTTGCAGGCCAGTCAAGCACACCAACACCATGGTCAATTTAACCAACTTTTGGTGCTTTTGGCAGTGTGAGCAGGTGCCAAATCCTGCTGGAAAATGAAATCAGCATCTTCAAAAAGCTGGTCAGCAGAAGGAAGCATGAAGTGCTCCACAAAATCAATCACAATTAAAAGAACCAAAGACTTAAACTACTTCAGTCTGTGTGCATTTAATTTATTTAATACACGAGTTTCACAATTTGAGTTGAATTACTGAAATAAATGAACTTTTCCACGACATTCTAATTTATTGAGATGCACCTGTAGTGTTGTAAAAACGCAAAGTGTTTACAGAGTTTTATTATTATTTTCAACACTTTGCATTTTAAAATCAACTTCTAAATGTCTGTTCAGCAGTCCCTATAGAGGACTCAATTTAATTAAGTGATAAAAAGCAGTTGCAAATGTTGTACAAAAATAAATATACTAATCTTTGCAGCAATAAAATGTGTAACACTTTGTTTGACTACCAAATTATATGTAATATCTTATTATTAAAAATATTTTACTTACATTGGAAAGTTTTCCGTGACCTCTTGCGCGATCTTGGCAAAAAGTCTCACGATTTATTTCCAGAACATGATGCATGACGGGATACACTAACACTCGAATAGCGCTCCGGAGCGGTTTTAGAGATAGTGTGGGTTTAATGTGCGTTAAGGGCACTGCGCTTTGGTATATTTAAGACCTTGGACAGTCTTGCGCACGCGCTCTCAAGTGGCCAAGACCGCAAGTGTGGGTATTTGGACAAGGGGTCTCTTTATGAATGGGCCTTTGAATCATTGATTCACACGATTCGTTCAAAATGCGTATTCATTCAGAAACTAAACACCACTGTGTTGCTCGGAGACGCAACAGTTCTGCTGTGGCTTTAAAGGTAATACATTCTCTGCAAAATTTTACAAAAACACAATATTCTGTTTAAAATATAACACAATATCAACTTCTTATTTACTGAACTGTTGTATAAAATCACATTTAAACTCATGATATTCAGGGAAAAAAATCACTCATGTGATATTGCTCTCGCTGATATAAATAAGAGACAAAAACTCATACAGGGGCAATTTTTGCCCCAATATCTTTAATTTTAGGGCATAACTGCATCTATGGAGCTGTTGCACTGCATCATGTTTGTCAACAGTCAACTGTATGAAATGTAACATGACGTACAGGCCTGGGGCCAGTGCGTTAACTGCGTTAAAATATTTTAATTGCGTTATTTTTTCATAACTAATTAATTAAGTTAACGTGTTAAACTGACAGCCCTAATATATATATATAAAACACACACACACACACATACAATAGAAACAATTTTAACAACTATTAGCAAATAAACTGACTGTTAAAGTAAAGTAGTAAAGTACTGGTAAAGTCATGCTCAAAACAAAAGAAAGGAGGGACACACTTGTGTTGGCCTGTGTGTAAGACCTCAGACGAAAGTACACTCGTGCATTACGTAACTCTGAAGAAAACTTTATAACAGTCCTTCCATGTCAACAAACACCAAATTTTCACACACACACACACACACACAAACAACTTAAACACTAAATTATGCTGATTATTATTATTACCAATAAAAACTAATATATTACTGTCGTCAAACATCATTTTTTTAGAAGAGTCGTGACTGAACAACGTCTGTCTCAAAACATAGCGAGCCCCTACCTGAGCAGCATTTTGAATGCACTGTCATAGTCAGAAGCATTTCAGGTCAGAAAAGCCCCAATATACTGCTTAGATAGGGAACTTAAAAGGTTTTGAAACACAACCACTACTGTAGCGAGTCACTAGCACAAACAAGCTACATGTTTGACAATTGACATAAATAAAACCAAATTTAAGAAAAATGAATTTTTAAGAAGCTAAATGTCTAACATATTACTCCTATAGTTCATATGAGCCGAAACGTTACATTTGCTGTCTTTGTAAACAGTCAATTAGCCATTAGCTTGTTGTGTTTTTCGCTTGAGATCCATTTAAACTCCACTGGGCTCATGATAGCTGTCCTAGCGAGGGTATTTTTGGCATGCAAGACATTTTAAAGCAAGAAATCGCAGTGGAGAACTCTTTATGTTTAGTTCAGCAGTAGGCCGCGGCTGAGTCCCCGGACTCACCAGTTGGTCATGTCCAGGAAGAAGGCGCAGCCCGCCGGGTTGAGCTGAAAGCCCAGCAGCCTCTGGAACTCCGAGATGAGGACATCTTTATCCGTGGTGCCCATGCAGCTGAATTTTTGCATGAGCTCCGAATCCAGGTCTATGTCCATGCCCTCCATGAGCATGCGGCTGTCCCGGGGATAAGTTTTAATTGAGTCCGAGGCCTTCTCCAGTCATAACAAGCGACCCGATAACAAGCTCAGTACGCATGGCTGCGGGCGGGGCGTGACATCACGCGCTACGTAACTATGGTGCGGAGGAACGTCAGCTGTTGCTATTCGACTGTTGTGTCTGTGGCGTGTCGTAATCCAGAGCATTCATACAAACCCTAGGCCCTATGTTACTGTAGTATGGAAGGCCTTCCATACTGTAGTGCCATAGTTGCATGTAAGGAACTTTGACATATAGGCTATACAACGATGTTAAAGGGGTCATATGATGTTGCTAAAAATAACATTATTTGGTGTAATGAAATGTGTTTATGCGGTTTAAGGTTCAAAAAACACATTATTTTCCACATACTGTACATTATTGTTTCTCCTCTATGCCCCGCCTTTCTGAAACGCGTCGATTTTTACAAAGCTCATCGGTCTGAAAAGCGAGGTGTGCTCTGATTGGCCAGCTATCCAGTGCGTTGTGATTGGCCGAATACCTCAAGCATGTGACGGAAATGTTACGCCCCTCACCATACTGTGATGCCCTGTCCCAGTGCCGGAGCGATGATTCAAAAACATGAAAACATAATTACAGATTATAATGACTTATACTGTTTTTTTTACGCGTTGCATTGCATCGCGCCGCGTAAACATAAAACCATGTCTGCATTTGTGATCGGAGAAACGACAAACAGCAAGCCCTACTCTACACTGCCCAAAAAACGTGCTTTAAATATATAAAATATAAAAACTCTTTAAATATAAAAAAACGTACTTACAGTCTGTGAGTCAGAACAGCCGGCATTGTAGTCTACTCTCCCAGGATCAGTAAACAGTCCTCCATAAAATGCGCTGGAAAACATCGGAATATTTGGGTTGAATTGTTCTGGAACAGTGTTGTAAATACAACTTAACCACTGATTTCTAGTTGTGTCCTCTTTTGGAAGGCCAAAGAAAGTAGTTTCGCTTTCACAATGAAACACACAGCGTCACACACCGCGGCCTTGAGAACGGCGCAGCCGGCGGGCTTGCGGCAACCACAAGAGATGACTCCGTGCTGGACTCCGCTTCATCCATGGTGAAAGCCGATCTGGCGATCCACAGCGTGAAGTTGATGTATTTCCTCAGCGACCAGCACGGATCAGCTCTAGGCATGATGAAGCGGATATCGTCCTCTTTTGGAAGACCAAACAAAGTAGTTTCGCTTTCACAACGAAACACACGGCAACAACAATACTACAGCAAGAATAAAAGTTACACCTTCTTTCTTTGCGTGAACATTTGGGCGGCGTTATGCAAATCTTACCACATAGTGAGGTAGATATGTGGGGGCGTTTAAACAAGGCGTTTTAGGAGGGCGTGGAGAACTTAACTTTTAACTTTTATAAAGAATAAAGGGTTTGAGACTTTAGTCTTTGCAACTTTACAGATCTTCTTTATGCACCAAGAGCTTGTAACACTCCAAAGAGAAAGGAAAAACTGAAATTGCATCATATGACCCGTTTAAACGATTACATAGTTAATTTACTTTTGTATTCACATGGTATGTCAAGAATATGTCCAGCAAGCCATTGTATTGCCATGGCAGGTGCTCAGTAAACGCTAAATTACTAATGAATAACTAATGAAGTTACTCTTACTAAAGTACTGTCGCTATACCATAGTAATGATTTACGCACCCTTATTCTTTAACTGAGTGTATATTTATGTATAAACTAAAATAACCGCACTGTTTTCCAGTTAGGCAGGTAAGAAATCCAATGCACATTGGATTTTTATTTCAGTTATTGTAAATAAAATATTTTAAAATAGTATTTGTAATCAAATTAAATATTTTTTTACGTTGTTATTATTAAAATAAATAAATAAATCAATTAATTATTGCATTTATTTAAGAAATCCCCCTTTAACCCATTGTTTCTAAAGTACTATCCAGTAAATACCCAGTGCACATAATTCAGTTATTGTAAATACCGTTATTTTAAATTATTTAATTGTTTTAATTATTTTATATAAAATTATGTTGTTTTAGTTATATTAATAAAAATATTTTCAATTACTTAATTGCTTCAATTATTTTATAATTAAAATAATTTTCATTTATTTAATCATTTATTGTATGTAGTTATTTAAGGGACCCGGCTTTAAGAGTCTAACCCCATTGTTTCTTAATATGTATAATGTGCATTGGAATTCTTAGCCGCGTAATTGTAACACAGTGCTGTTATTTCAGATCAAGGATTTCTCAAAGGATGACCCCACTACTTGCATCACATAAAATGAGAAACCAGGCCCACCATCCCGTGTGAGAGTCTCAGTAACCTGATTAGCCAGCCTGTCAGTAATAATAAGGCCAGGTCTTGGATCTAGGACCCATCGCTGTATCAGCTAGTGTGAGATGACAAGAAAGACTGGGAGAACTAGAACCACAACAGGAGACAAAGGAGTGAGTAACTTAAGATAAAGCAGAATGTGTGTGTGTGTTTGAGTTTCAAATGTGTTGTGCTTGTATGTGTGTGTTTCACTTTAGATATGGTGATGTGGGCTGAGCAGATATTATTCTGGAGCACTTACATTGTAATATACTTATGTACAAACACATATGATGTTAGTATATTTTTAATGGTGTGAATTTAAATAAGGAAAGATGGTTCCAAATTGTATCACAACCAATTCAGAATCCTTTTTGGTGTTCACTGCACAACTGTATTTTGTAGATTCCATAAACTGAAATGTTAGTGCTGGAATAAAGACCTTAAACTATTATTATTGGAAGTTAAATTGTAATAATTTAATTACATTTAAAGTTTATTTTATTATTCAAATTAAATTATTACTTTTTAATTTAATTTTATTATAAAATTAAATTATTTAGTAAAGCGTAAAGACCTTAAACCTTAACACAAATGACTTTTTCAGCATACTGTTCTAAATTGAACTTTAATAATCTACATTTAAATTGAACTTTAATACATTTAAAGTTTATTTTATTATTTAAATTACATTACTATTTTCTTATTTCAGTTTATATTTTTATTTTGTAATTTAAAATTTATTTTAAAATTTAATTTTGTAGTATACAGTAAAGACTATAAACCCTAAGGCAAAGAACTATTTCAAGATAATGTTCTAAATTCAACTTTAATAATCTAATAATAAAATAAACTTAATGAACTTATAAAATCTTATTTAAATTAAACTTTAATACTTGAATGAAATTGACATTAACATTTTATTTTATTATTTGAATTACATTTTTGTTTTATTTTTATTTTGTTAGAGTAAAGACCTTAAACCCTGGCACAAAGAACCATTTCAACATTGTTCTAAAATGAACTTGAATAATCTTAATAATTACTTTATTGTTACAATTTTTATTTGAATAACTATTGTATTTAATCATTTAAACAACCCTCCTTTAAGAGTCTAACCTCATTGTTTCAGTTGATGTTATTTCGAGCTGTATTATGCACATTTTAATGTACGCTGTTGATTGATTTGTGATCAGTTGTTTTAGGCTGCAAGCTTATGCACTGCAGAGAACCGGGGCGTCTGTAGTGAGCCCACGCGGTAGTGAGTCAAACAGACAGACAGGCAGGCAGGGAGGGAGGGAGGGGAAGGAAAGAGTCTTTTAAAAAAAAAAACATGGGAGTTTCTTGGCAAGGGGAGGGCAGAGGAACACAAACTGTGGGTGGACCCCTGTGACAATGTAGATCAGGCACCTAAACCCTCCCTGGTTGAAAAACACTAGTACCACGAATGCTTACAGTGGTTAGTACTGCCGTAGATCCGGGAGGCGGCTTTAAATTTAATTCCATGGATAATACAGACTTACACTGAATAATACCAGGTGGACAAGGACTAATAGTCTGCTTATCGCAGGTAAAGAGGATTCGTGTCCAGACCCCCAGACAGACCCCTGCTTTGCTGTTCCAGACAGAAAAACCCACAACGCCAAACCAGGAATGTCCAATCCCGCACCAGACGCCCGTCCGGACCAGACTGAGAGTGATGGGTCGTCTGAACCGTCACCCCAGTCTTTGAGGAAGCCACCTGGGCATCTGAAGTTGGCACGCAGCCTCTCTAAATCAGACTCCGACCTGCTGGCTTCCCCTCATTGTGAGGACGACGGGCCTCTTGGTGGCCGGAGCGAATCCCTGTCCAACTGTGCTGCTGAGAGGAAGGAAATGGAGCAGATGCCCTCATTTGCCTCCGAATGGGACGAGGTAAGAGCTGATGAACTGCTGATTACAGAGCAGAGGAGGGAGAACACGAGAATTCCTCTCATGAGGGACAAACCAGAACAGACACGTTAAAAGTTTTGAATTTACACTGAAAGTTACTTTTAATATACACTACCATTCAAAAGTTTGGGGTCAGTATGATTTTATTTTTTGAGAGAAATTAATGCTTTTTATTCAGCAAGGATGCAGTAAAGACATTTATGTTAGAAGAGATTTTTAAAAATGCTGTTCTTTTGAACTTTCCATTCGTCAAAGAATCCTGAAAAAATGCATTGCTGTTTCAACAAAAATATGAAGCAGCACAATTATTTTCAACATTGATAATAATAAGAAATGTTCACATGCAAGCTATAGAAGTCAACCTTGTCTAAAAAAAAAAATCTGCTAACCAAGCATAGTGATAGCAGTTACAGTGATACAGTTTCAAACCTCTCACTTTACCATAGCATAGTCATGTAACAATTTCATGTAACTGGTCTTTTTTTTAGGAGTAATGCAATAATATAACATGTTACTTTTATAAAAATTTATACTAGTATACCTACATTACTTTTCCTTTTATGTAATTTATTTTCAGACAAAGGCATTTTCCTCCTTCCTTGTAACATTGGCGCAAAGGCCTACATACTCATGTTAACTAAAGATGAAAAATTGTAATTTAAAATTAAAAAGTAAGTTATAAATTGATTTGTTAATTAAAATAAAGCTTAAATAAAATAAAATATAAATATTACATGAAAAGTTTAAAAAGAAAAAAAATTAAGAAAACTTAAACGAAAAGAAAATTAGAAATGTTTTCTTGGAAACTAACCAAAAATATTAAAATAACTTAAAATATTAATAAAAACTATAAAATTATGTAAATAATACTAAAATAAC